GTTCTTTTGCTAGAAGAAACGGGGCAGTTGATCAGTCTCCAGTCTGTCCATTCAACTCACAACACTGGATGTCTCTGTTCTTACTCCCACCCCATTTAGAGTGAAGAGACCTAGTTCCATTAGTTGATATTCACACAAAATCCATTCCATGCAGCACATCACAGTAGCATATATGACCAGGCCTTTGAAAAACATCAAGGTCATGGAACTTAAAAATTGTATGTAGGATTTTTAAATATAATTTTAATGGCTTTTTAAAAAATTATTTTGTTATATCTGAGTAAATTGAGATTAATGTTGGATATGTGATTGTTCTGAGCTCGTGAGGACATGCATGAAATAGAAGGGTTGTCACTGACTTGAGCTTTGTCTTAAGTTGCAGTTTGCAGTTTTGTAGACATAGCATTTTTTAAATGAAATGTCCTAAATGAAAGTCCACTTTTAAATGACACATGCAGTAGGACATCTGCTGTTGGGAGATCATTTGTGCACCTGAGTGCCTGTGCATTTGGGTACATGTTGCCATCAGGGAACAACAGGTTAGCCTGAGTTTCTTAACTATTCCAGTTGCTTCTAGTTCCTTCTACCCCATTTCATGTCCATATAGCATCTTAGTGCTTATTTTGTACCTTAGTGGCTACAGTGATGCCTTTGCAGTCTATTTTGTCTAGCCAAGGCAGCTTCTTTTTCAATTCCTGTGTACATACACATTTAGCATGTTTGATCATTTTTGTTGCCTTCTCAAAATCCGTCAGTTTCTGCATTAACAAGAAGTCTAGGACTGCACACAGTCCTCCTGCACCAGTCCTCCTGCGTGGTGCTGAGGTGGACAGTGTCATTCAGAGAAGGATATGGCTGTATGTGCAGCCCAATGATGTATTACAATTGCAATGACTCCCAGCCTTCTGCTTAGTGCCTTTGTTGAGGCTCGTTTAGGAGTTTTGTTTTTCATGGTATTTTCTGTTAGCTGTGAGTTCTCCATTTTTTTGTCCTTGGTATGTTCAGTAAGGAACTGTGTATTTTCTGCTGCAGCATCTTGCCTGCTGTCGTTCTGACGTCCTTTGAGAAATGACTCTGCAGTAGAAATACATAGAAAAGGACCAGTCCACTGTATCTCATTTCTGTCATCAGATGGAAGTCCACTTGAAGAATGGTAAAGAGAAGGAGGAAATAGGCATCCTCTGATGTGACAGGAGGTTTTCTCAGGAAGGGAAGAAAACAGAAGAGCCAAATTGGTGGCTTGAGAAAGCGAACAGTAGTCGGTAGCAATACGGCCTTGGCAGCAGCTGTGGAGGAGCTGTGCCTGCGGGCAGGCAGTACTTTCAGCTTTGGCAAGGGCTAAACCAGCTGCGATGCAGCACTGCTGACAAAAGTGGCAGGGAGGTGCAGACTTCTTGGGGACGGTACTGCAAGCAGTACAGTTGCCTTGGTGCCGTTAGCTGTGTGCCTTCTCCGTGTCTGGTTCTGCTTAGCCCTCCCAGCTGCCCCACCGCACACAGCAGCTCTTGGCTTCGTCTTCTACACGAAGGGAGGGTGTTCCCTCTTTGACCCAAGGGCTGTAGCCTCAGCTGGAGGCATCCACTGTTCTTCCTCATCTCCTGCACCTAGCAGTGTTCTTGTGCTTTGCTAGTGAAACTATTGGAGTCTTGGGGAGTAAGGCATGTGCATGAGATCACAAGTGGAGAAAGAGGGATATGCCAGTGGATGAGAACAGTTACATTAGATAGGCAGATCTGGGGTGCAGGACCTCCGAGGAAGAGGATGTATCAGTGCTGTTTTGTGCTGCATTCTTCACCATGGACGATATTTATTCAGGAGAAATCCTGTTCCTCCACTAAGATAACATGAGAAAGAGGGGAAGAGGTGAATCATAACCCATAGCCACTGGTATCTCACAGATCTCATCCTTCAAAAGATATACTAGCGTTGTGGTACTTTTCAGTATTGTGGTATTTATGTCAGCATTGTGAAAGATAGTGTGAAACACTGTCTATCACATCCTCTCACATATACGTTTGAAGAAAAAAGCATCTTTTGGGAAGATGGTGTATGTGTTCTATTAGATATGTTTAGGAAGACAAAGCATTTTTGTCTTTATCTGCTGGAAGCTTGGTGGGCTTGTAGCAGGCCAATGACACTTGCCTTGGAGTGGTATTTTAGCTACAGACAGTACAAGAGATAGGAGTATGAGAAGAGAAGAAATGAGATAGGCCAAAGGTTAGGATTGAATATATTGTCTGCAATATTGTTTTGTTTGCTTGAGCAGTCTCCTTTTCCTCATTTTCATCCTTTCCTATCTTTTTCTATTTTAATGTCTAACAAAGGGAAATGAAGAAAGTTCAAAGATGTCAAACCTAGGTCAAGAGTCTTTTTGGCTTGCTGCCCTTGTTTGCCATCCTTACTGTGTTCTTCATAGAATCAGAAAAATGGGCCTGCAATTTGAGCCTTGTCCTCAGTCTCCAGGAGGGATGAACAGGCGGTGACTGTGCCCAGGATCCTGTCTCTTCTGAATGGCTGTCAAATGACCCAGCATGATGGGCAGGCAACAACAGGTCATCCCTCTGCTGGAAGAAGGCCACAGTTGCGGATTGGCAGGCAACAGAAAGAGCTTAAATACAAGCTCAAGTGTGAAGTGTTTGCTGGGCTATTTCTTTCTGCTGACTCTGCCTGGGTTAGAGGGCGGGGGTTAGTAATGTGGGAGATAGCTGCTTTGTTTCAGCAGTTTTCATAGTTCCATATATATGGGAGAAAATGTTTTCAGCCCTGCACAAAGCCTTTGTTTTGCTTTTTTTTTTTTCTGCCTCCTGCTTCTCTCTGCTTGGTGGCCATACTTAAGATCATCGTTACTACATATAAGAAGTTTTTTACACCAATACTTACTGTCTCTACCCACTTGTCTTCCTGTGTTGGTCTCTGTTCTGCCTCAGCTTTCCTTCTCTATCCATGCCAGTTATCGCCATTTATTCTTTACGGATCATTTCATTTCTTTCATTACCCCCACTTCCTTTGTGCATCCAAGCACAAGGACTATCCCAGACTTGCAGTGAGCAAGGTGAACTGATGATGATCATCAGGGCTTGCTTTGGGGACTGGGAGGTTTGGATGGTTAATTTGGAGATACAGCACTCAGCTGCAGCATAATGTTTGCAACCAGAACAGGTAGTCCATTATGAAATGCAGCAGTCAGGGCATCATGTAGGAAAAGCTCTACTGGGTGAGATGTAGGGTGCCTCTGGACTTACAGTGTTGTTACTGCAGTCGTAGCAGATGGCTACAGCATACGATGAATAGACCTGGCATTTGTACTGAGTTCTTCTGCCAGGTGCCTTCACAGCCTCTATCTGTTGACAGCAGTTCAGAGTCTCTGATCCAAATATGGTTTCCATGTATTTGGGAGCACTCCATTCACCTCTTCCAACTGCTTGTCCAGCCATCCCTTGAGCCCGTATAGGCTCCTAGCTTCTACAGCATCCTTTGGGAAAAGAGTTCCAAGGTTGACATTCACTGTGTAATGGCCACCTTCTTTTGGTGTCTATGAGCCCAGTTCCTCCTGGTTTCCTCTGCCCTCTCCAGGTTGCTTGTGGTTTTGCAGAGCTCTTGCAAATGCCTTGTAGATTACTTTGAACCATAAGTGCCTAAATGGAAGAGTCATGCAATAACACTTGGATTACTTTCCTGCTCATGTAAACTGCTTTCTATCTATTGATATTCAATTTCATCTGCCACTTAATTGTACAGGCAGTCTCATAAAGTCCTTCTGCAGTTATTTGAAGCTGGCCTTGATCCTTGATACCTTGAATAACAGTGTCATTTTCTCACTTCCTTGCCTTTTTTTGCTTTCTCCAGATTGCTTATGGCTATGTTGAACAGCTCAGGACTCAGCAGAACTTCACATATGCCTTTCTTCTGTTTTCAGTACCATTTTCTTTTACCTCATTTCCTATCTTTTAGCCCATTATCTATCCATAATGGATGCTGGTGGCTTCATGATTTCCTCAAAAATCTTTGGAGAGGGACTTTCAGAAGACTTCTGTGTATGAATATTCTTATTCACATATTGTTTCAAATGAAAATAGTTTGTGAATGTGTGTATATTCATAAGTACATAGGCATATATAATGAATATTTTGATAATTCTTGGAATGGAGCTAAGCTTTTTTCTCTGTTTTGGGTTATATTTTATAGGTGGCAGTTTTTTATTTGTGTTTTTCCTTGACTCTTGCTTTTTCCTTTTACTCTTGTTTTTCCTGATAAAATTTTAAGGCTTAGAAATGAGCTTACCCTGTGCATTACACAGCATTAAGCTTGTGGTCTGATCCCTAATGTCTGTTGCACAGCACACTGAAATAAATGTAAATGCCAGAATTTTAGAATGCCTAAAATGAGTTGCTGAAATAATTTATATATTTATTTATTTTAAGTTTTTAAGACTTTATCAAAGAGATGAGTTTTTTATAAAGGATTCCTGTGACTTTATGAACTTACACTGCTCTCCCATGTAAGTGGAAGAGAAGCCTGTCATGGCAAAGTACTTTGCCTCAGGTTTTCGTTATTCACCTCTGCTCGTGTGCCTTCTCATCAAAGGAGCCTGCTGCCTGGTGCAGAGGCTGGAGCACTGGAGACATGCTCTTGCTTATAGCTTTGGGTAGCAGGTGGACCGCAGCATCTTTGACTGCGTGTAGCCATCAGAGAACTTTTTGATCTGTCTTATGGTAGAACTTTCTGCTCTCAGCTGGCCTGGGTAGCAGGCAGTGCAGTATTTTCCCAAGCCTTGTATTTTTCATCGATGCTTCCTGCCCATTCTGTCACCGAGTTCTTCTTTCTAATGGCTGGGAAATGCCAGGCCAAAGCTGTTTGGCCAAGTGTTGCTACTTAGTGCTTATCAGGATGGCCTGAATTGGGCACTTGCTTGAGTTAGTGTCTTGTTACATACAAATATCTTTTCTGCTGAGGAAGCAGTGACCAAACTGGCTCTTCTTTCTGTGTTGCTTCTTCTCCAGCGTCCTGGGATGCCATCAGGAGCTCGAATGCCCCATCAGGGGACTCCCATGGGTCCTCCAGGTCCCCCATATGTTGGAAGCCCCTCAGTGCGACCAGGAATGCCCCAGACTGTGATGGAAACAACGAGAAAGCGCACTGCACCCCAGCAAGTCCAGCAGCAACAGGTGCAGCAGCAAGTACAGCAGCAGCAGCAAGCCACTCAGAACCGAACCAGGAGGTGAGTGTTCCAGAAATGAAACATGGGAAGACAATCTGAGGAAGAAAAACTGGTCTCTTTATCAATAGGTAAGACTTTTTAGTTTGAGCAAGACAAACAAGAAGGTTTATAGATGGTCAGCTTCTTAAAGGAGGAAAAAAAACGCTGGTAAATTTTACTCTATACTCTGTGAATGGTCTCTAAACAGACCGACCCTGATTAGTGTTTGGTTTTGTAGCTGCAATGCATGTGTTTCAAGCTATATATCTGGTCATTATATTCAGCCTATAAAGTACTTGTTAATGAGCACTTCAAATGCAGTACAAATACTCTACTAATTATCTAATCTTTATAATTTTGCTGTTTTCTAACTAACTAACAAAATGTTTTGTAAACAAGACATGTTGAAAAAGATTTTTAGTTGGTCATGTGAATACTTCTACTGTGGTTACTATGGGATAATATCAGTAGAATGGTGATAAAACTTAGTTTTCACAGTCTATGTGTAAAATGACTAAGGAAATTAATAGGAAATAATTTCCCAGAATTAGAAGATTTTTTTAAATAACTTTTAAAAATATTCCAACTTTGTACACTTTTGATTGTCCTGCTCTTCGGTAACAGTTCTTTACTTCCTTTTTGCAAATTACGAGACCTCAGCAGATTGAATTCCTAAGTGTGAGCCAGTTGCTGACAACTGCCATGTAGCTGGTCTGCCCTTCGCAAAATTCCTGTAGATGTATATAGATAGTGTTCAGGCAGTGCTTTGGTGGTGTCATCACATCTAGTTGCAAGTAAAACACGCCTCTAAGCTGAGTACTTCAGGAACCCTGCTCTATCCAGGTTCTATGCCTTGAAACAGCAAGTCAGACTTGGGAACGCTTATATCTGAGATGCATCTGGAAAGGACACCAATCCTATGCGCATTAATATAAGATTGAATACAGAAGGAATGTGTGTGGGTGCAGCATGTTAGTATAAGAGGTGTATTTGCATCATAGAGACTGTGCCCGGCACTAGCCCAAATGCACATTCCACAGCACCTCCCAGGAGATTTTCAGGAAACTGCACAATATATTGCCTAGCCTTCAAGTATACTGGACAGATATCATCTGACCGACTGCTACTTTTGGACAATTAGGGTATTAGGGTAATCCTTAAGCATCAGTTTTTGGGGATCATCAAATGAGAATAATTTGCTCTCTAAAATTTAATGGAATAAATCAGAGAAGGAAGCATTTTTTTCCCCAGCCACCTTAACTTCACTACATTTTTTTAGGAACCTAACAATAATCTCTTTTGTAGCAAATCCAGATTATACCAGTGCTTCCTAAATACTCAGACAAGTTTCTATGTTTCTTCTGCCCTGCCTGTCCTCCTGGCAATGTTTTGAATGCTTTCCCCTTGTTCATTTCTGCCCCCCTGTTGTCTCCCGTTGAACCTAGTCTAGTTTTTCAGACAAACTTTTTCAATATCTCAGATCCAGTTCTGGATTTAGTCAAGCCCTATTGTTTTACTGCACAAAAGGGCTAAGAAGGAGTAACCTACCTTTCTTGGCAGATTTGGTAGAGACAGAAAGCAGATTAATTCTCCTTTCTTTAACAGACTCTTGGAGAACTGGTTAAAAGGAAATTTGTTTTGTTTTGTTTTAACTGCAAGTCTTCGGAGGTGCTGCAGGTGCATATTGTTTCCCTTGGAGAAAATATAGCTTGCTCAGATATTGCCTTCTGCATTTTTTTTCTGCAGATTCTGTGAAGTGTTTCAGTGTAGATTTGATTTTGTCAGCTCTGGAGTGTCTTAGAGGCTCATACCATGGAATTCTCCAGGATCATTATTCATGTACTTTTAAAACGGACACTGTTCACCTAAGAAATGGGGTGTGATTGCTTGGATGCATTTTCTGTCCCTAAGGAGGTAGTTCTAGATGTAGTTTGTACATACAGCCACAAAGAGTGCCTTAGGCTTGGCTTTTGTGAGTAGGAGAAAACTCCTTGTATCTCAGGCTAGGCTTATCACTAGCAAGTGTGGGAAAGGAGTAAACCATCGTGGCTTGTGTTTCCAAACAGCTTTTATGTGAACATGGCTGATAAGGGACTTCCTCTATAGAAATAGTAAGGTAGCCTTCTGCCTTGATGGCAGCAGCAGATGCTTCTTTTTCTTGTTTTTCTGTCACAGATTGAGTGATTCATCTCCTGCTTAAGATAAAGGCCTCACAAAATACAGAGATGAGGGAGGTAGGCCAGGATTCCCTCTTGGCCCTGTCAGAGAAAGCTAGGTGACAGTTTGATGGACAGAAATGATTTTTTAGAAACTGAAGATTTCAAAAAGGGGGATATTTGGAGATCTTACTTGCAGTACAATTTCTTAAGCACACATACATTTGCATGTATGTATATAGACACATGTTTCTAAAAGAATATATGTATATTTGTGCTTATGTATGAATATGGACTTGCTATGCATATGCACTGCAGACACATATATATTCATAAAGATGAACATGTATAAAGGCATGGACACTTATCTTTGTAAAATTACATATACAAATGCATTTCAGTGAAACGAATGTCTGTACATAGAGAGGTGTATGTATATATGTGTGTTTACATACACACATAAACACTGGCACTCAATTTTAAGTATGGATAAATGCATACCCTGATCTATTTGAACATTCAATCCACAGGCATTGACCTCTTAAGTGTACCTATGCATAGGTGTGTTTTACACTTTCAGACATGCACACTGTCCTACTACATGCTCCTTCTGTATCCATAGATGGCATGTACACGTGTACTTGCATATATTGCTGCCCTGCACCATAGACAATCCTGAGATCAAAGAACTTGTACACTCTTTCCAAGATGCATAACAGACAGCCCTGATTTGTTCCTAGCTAAGCATCTCCCCAGGCTGCTGAGAGATGGGGTCCTAGGTCTGGGCATGGGTGAAACCCTTTTGCTGATGCATGCACAGCTGTGCACCAGCATGTGGAGATGTCAGGATAATTTAGCAGGTGGCCTCGTTACTCCTAGATCTGTCACCATGGTAACGTGTTTTTTTCTTTAAAAAATGTACAGTGCCAAGAGGAGGAAGATGGCTGACAAAATTCTCCCTCAGAGGGTGAGTCGCTTTCATTTCCTATTCCCTTCACAATCAGTTCAGCATTTCAGTGTAATTAGGGGAATTTTAGCAAATACTTTCACTTTTTGTTTAAAAATCTAATTAAAAAGTAAGTAAGCAGTGGGTGAAAGTCTAGAGAGCAAGGCTGGGGCTGGAGCTGGGGGCTGGGAGTGTGCAGCCCAGCCTGTGTCGTCCTCTTGCATTGGGTTAGCTGTGCCAGCACTGCCACTTGCTGGATGGACAGTGGTGCTGGGCTGTGAGGTACATGACTTGATACTGGGGCCCTCTGGATTGTAAAGATAATTTAGATCAATATTTGAGGCTGGTCAAAAGCTAGTTCAGAGTTCAGCTGTGCATTTAGAAGATGGACTCCTCCTTAGGTCTCTCTGGTCCAGTAAGGCTGCCAAGTACTATTTTTTTGCAGTTGTGTCTGAGTACGACCAAAGTGAATCAGTCTAAAGATACAACAGAGTTCAAGGGGCCTGGATTGTCCAGAAAGTTATTAATTCTTCTGTGCCCTGGAGATGTGTCTAGTTTTTCGTGCGTCTCTGTGCCTGATACGAACAGCTTCCTTCTCAGTGCTCTCATCTTCCACTTCCTTTGCAGACATTGAGTTTACTGTCCATTCTTTTCTTTCATTATCCCCAGACTTTCCTTTCCTGTGCCCTCTTAAATACAGTTCTCCCATAACATGCTTGGTCCCAAAAGGCAGGTTTCCTTAATCGTCATAACATATTCCCCATCACACCCTAGATCCAGTTTCTTTGGCCTCTATGTTTTTTCCCTAGGCTCAGGATTCCTGACAGACATGTAGAGCTCTTCTTCCTTTTCAAGGATACCTTCCCACTAGTGGTGTAACCCCAAGCTTTGTGGCAATCTCCAAATTCTTGTCTATGACCTTCCATAGGCACCCAGTGCCAGCCAACTGCAGAAGTGGGCCCTCTTTGGTACTCCTGGCTTCTCTCTTTGCTGTTCCTGCTACCCTCTGAAAGCACTGCCCCGCATAGTTTAGCAATTAGTTCCTTTATGCTGCTCTCTTGGGAGGACTAAGTTACTATTAAATCCAGCTCCTTTGAACTGCTTGCAACTTTCATGGTGTTTGTACTAAGACCTTGTTTCTGCTCTGTTTGGAGCCTTTGCTGAATGAAAATTATATTTCACATGCTTTCAATTATGTCCATCTTGCACAAATTCATGAATCTTGCATTCTCTTCAGAGATAACTGTACATCATGTTTGATGAGCCTGTATCTTTAAACATGTGTTCATTTGAAGGCTTTTTTTGTCCTATGCTTTCATATGATATAAAGTCTGAGATGGACGAGGTGTAACCAAACTAACTTCTGTGGCAGTAGAAGACTTACACCTCTATTTATCAAACCCATAATAATTCTTTAATAGGCATAACCTTATTCAGCTACATCAAAGTACTGTACAGATGCTAGCACCTTTCAGAGCCACGCTATCACCAAGTCTTCTTTCTTTTCAAGTCTCTGTTGCAGAGCCAGCCAAGTTATGGTAGTTGATAGCAATCAGGCCCCATGAAGCGGAGTTGTGTTCTAGCTGGAGTTTCTCAGCACAGCTGAAGAGGTGGTATTAATGATAGGACTTTCTGGATTCAAGGATGCTGTTAGACTGCAATCAGTATATTAGAACCTCCTTGGTGTCACCATTCATGCAATTGGAAAATGCCTTGTACATCTGTGTCCTGTCAAATGAAACATTTGCACTGGTGGTAGGGCATGCTTGCAAAATCTAGAGCTTTCTGGAGCAACTTTGCAACCAATCAGCATCAAACTCTTTTTGCAAACTCATGTGTGTGTTTTCTACAAACTGTGAAGTGATATGGGGGGGATATTTAAATAAATTTTACTCTTGAAAAGCCTATTATATAATAATGGGAAAAGAAGTGGGTTCCCAGTGTTATTTACTGATACAAAGTCAAGCAGCTGGCCAGATAATCTACCATTAGATCTCTAAGCTTTCCACTTAAGTCTATGCTATGGTGCTGCTTGTATAAGGTCACTTAGATGCTATAGTTAAGCTTTTTGAGCAGAGCGTAATTTTGACCAGATTTAATTGTACAATAACAGTTCAGCCGACTATTACATGCAAAAAGATAGAATTATGAACATTACGGTACATCCAGTCCAGTTCCCTCTATCACAAAGACCTTGTCACACAGTCACTGCCTCAAAACTAGTTGGGTTCCTTAATCCTGTGGTATTTTAGATCTGACGGCTCTGTGGTTGTTGTTTTCACTAATGAAGTGCTTTTAGTTTACCAAGTAAGAGTGATTCCTCACACTTCTAATCCTCTACAGTGCTTCATTATATCTAGCCCAGGTTAAATTCACCTCTTCTTAACCTCTTTAAATTCACCTATCAGGAGGCCAGAACTGTACATAGTATTCCAGAACGTCTCAGCAGTGCTTGAATAGCATTAATGCATTTTTATCTCTACTGGAAGTAGCTTGAGTGATGCACTTTTTTTAAAATTTACATCCACATTGATATGGCATATAATCATTCTGTGGTTGACTAAAATTCCTAGGTATTTTTGAATTCTTTTGTTTGCAACTGGTAAATTCCCATATTCTAGCAAAATTATTGGTATAGACACTGAGTCATGTGACTTTGTGCTTTGTAATGTTAAATATCATCCCGTTTCTACTGTACAGTTCTCAGCTGCTTTGCATTCTCTGTGCTTGTATTGACAATATCACCCAAATACGTCATTATTAAGTTTTGCTAATATACTTCTCTTTTTTTGCACTTGAACTATTAGTGAAAATCGCATCAGTTTCAAGACCAATCCACGGTTCTGCTTATCGACTCCTTTTCTGTGCAATCTATTGTCATTCCTCTTTATCTAGTTCTTCAAAACAGTGTCATTTTTCTAATCCACATTTCTCAGTCTTAAGTATTGCTTCTCTTTATGACTATGGCAAATGTTTTACTTAAATGCAAGTACATTGGATCTACTGCATACCTTTTGTCTAAAATACAATTTAATTAAAGAAGGAGACTTGATTAAGCACAGAGTGACATACTGTAACTTAACAAAGCTGGGAGTTTGTTCAACATTAACTCCAGTTCTGTGCCACATGCTGCACTGTGCTGTTTTTCTTACCTTTGGGTCATTTCCTTCTAATATGCTGTTCTGTTTCCCTGCCTTTGCATCTTCGTTGCTCCCTGAAACACTCATCCAATCTCTAAAAAAGTTCATTAGCATCTTCATTCAGACCTGGAGACCCAGATCTCCTGAACTTATGTGACCTTTGCAGCTCAAGTCTAGCAGTTCTGCATCCGTTGTGACCCCATGCTACAAACTGTGCTTAAAGAAACCAAACTGTGCTTAAAGATGACCAGACATCAAGCTCTTTTCTGTTAGTTCTGAGTCATTAAGTTTCTTCCTGGGCACAATTACTGTCACCAGCCCTGCAAATTCTCCTGAGGACTTCTTACATATCTGTAATGGTTTTGCACAGCTCTCCTTTTTATCCTCTCTTCTTCATTCTGCCAGTCAACTCCTACTGCTATGTGCTGACTACCACATGGGATTTCTCTGCATTGCTCCATATCCTAATACCTGTCTATTATTGTTTGGACACCATGTGGCTATTTGCAAGCTTGTTCCCCTTCTGAGCCACCCAGAGGTGAGCCAGAGTTGGTTCTGCACTTCACTAACAAGAAGGAAGTGGTTGGTGATGTGTTAATAAAAATGGCAGCTTTGGCAAAAGCAACCATGAAATAGTGGAGTTCAGGAGCAGCAGAATATACACCATGGACCATGAACAAATGGTGCCTGCCTAACTTGATTGTCTTCTATAATGAGATGACTGGATTTGCAGGAAGAGGGAGCAGCAGATGCCATTTGGCTTTAGCAAAGTTTTCAGCACGGGTTCCCATAATATCTCTGTATCCAAACTGGGACTTTATAGTATGGGAAAGGATGAACAAGCAGTTGTATAAAAAGCTGATTGGATGATTGGGCTCTAGGACTCATTAGTGGCTAATAGTCATGCTCTACCTGAAGTCCAGTGACAAGTGGAGTATCACAGGGATCTGCCCTGAGTCCTGTTCTGTTTAGCACCTTTATCTATGAGGCAACAGAGTGCTTGCTTGTAAAATGTGCAGATGACACCTAATCAGGAGGGACCAGTCAGTATGGTCAAGGGAGCAGCTCTTATATGTGCTGAGGAGCAGCTCTCCTGGAAAGGCACTGGGGCCGTGGTGGGCAGTGAGCTGAGCGTGAGCCAGGAGCATGTCCTGGCAGCCTAGATGACTGCAAGCATTCTGGACTGTGGGAACAGGAGCACAGCCAGGAGTGAAGACAGCAATTACTCTTTCTCACTCAGTAGTCATTAGCTCACATCTACAACACTATGTCTAGTTTTGGGGCTGCCAGTACAGGGAGATATTGATAAATTTAAGCTGGTTCAGCAGAGGTCCCCAAGATGGTCAAAGGACTGGAGCAGCACTGGCACTATAAGGGGAAGGTGAGTGAGCCGAGCTTGTTCATCCTGGAGAAAGGAAAGTTTTGAGGAGACCTAGTAACAGCCTGCCAGTTGTTAAGGAGCTAATGCTAGGCGCTTCACAGTAGTGCATGGCAGGAGAATGGGAGGCAGTGGCATAAACTGAAATAGAAAAGGACCTGCCTGGATATAAAGAGAAACTTTTTCCGCAACAGTACAGTGAAGCACTGGAACCCAGAGAGGCTCTGGGACTGCCTCCCTTGGATGTTTTCAGAAGCAAGCTGGATAAAGATCTGAATAGCTGACCTCATCACTGATCCTGCTGTGAGCAGCAGGTTGAGCTCGAGCCTCCCAAGATCTCTTCCGATCTACATTATCCTGTGACCAAACTTCCGTGCTGTAAAGCATGTGTAGCAAAACTGTCTGGAGTATGTTGCTTTTGTATACTGTGTAGCACCCTGCTCTTGAACTCCATGCTTCAAAAGACTGGCTTGGCTTAGAGGTGCTACCCTGCCAGTGAACAT